GACATAAGCTGTGACAACATTAGTTTAACAAATACAGAAATGACAACAAGAAATAAAAATATTTACGCTTATGATTTTATTTCATAACCAACATCGTCATGTACATTTTTATTTTTTAGCTTGTCAGCATTTGTCTCTATTGTACCGTGCAAGCTGTGAATTGTCTAACTGCACTTATTAACATTGTCTAAGCTACTGCCTCCTATGTAGCATGAATAATCTCACAACACCATACCAGTCACTAGAGTGATAGGGATTAGACTGGGTGACACGACGCCTACATTTCACTTACATCACATTCGCTGGGTGGTGTGGCGCTTACATCTCACCCACTGGGGGATGTGACGCTTACATCTCACTCACTGGGTGATGTGACGCTTACACAGTGAACCAGCGGCAGATTAAGGTGGACATTACAGCCATACACGACCGATTTTAAAGGACCACAACTTGACTTTTATATTTGGATATCTTCCCTTGGCGGGGGGGGGGGGGGGGAGGGGGGGGGGAAGGATATGAAGACTTTTTGGTCACAAGTTTTATTCTACTATCCAATAGAAAACTATACACACCCCAGCTATGTGTAAGGTGAAGGGTACCCCCCCCCCCCCACATCAAATGCCACTCATGCATAATTCACCCCGGATCTAATACATAACACGTCCCTACATGTGGGCCTACAATTAAAGATATTATCTGCACAATAAAAGCAAGGTACACTACACGATTTAAAAGAAAATAGCTTTATCTATTCTATAAAAGCTATAGCCTACACGTTTAACATTAAACTCATCATTTAGAAGTTTAACTTTAAACTCAACTATTATATACTTTTACACCTACTTTTACTTTTGTGTACCATATAAAAATATTACATATGAAACCTTGAACCTAATTTTGACATCATTACAGTTACAGCGTATACTATCAAATATATCTCACCAGTAAAAAATCTTGTTTAGCCAATCAACTATAAAATGCTAATGTCATTACAGTTAAAACAACCAATCAAAATACATTAGCCAAACTTCGCTGACAGCCGGGCTTCTAGTTCTACCGTGTGAACTTTTTTGTACTTGTCACCAAGGTGTAACGGTGTTCCCCATACAGTGTTTCTTCCAGACTTTTTTCTCCGTGGGGGCACTTGAAATTTTCGGGGGGGGGGGGGGGGGGGAGGGCGGTAGAATTTTTTTCGGGGGGGGGGGGGGGGGAGGGTGGGCTTTGCCCCCCCCCCCCCGGAAGAGATGCCTGGAAGAAACTCTGCCCCCATATATGACGTCACTCACCTGGGGGTAGGGGTTATTGACCATCCGTAAGTTCATCAGTGACGTAGGCAGGATTTTCTCTTTGCTGAGGGTAGGGGAGGGGGGGTAAGTAAAATTTGTAATAATATTAAGTAAGTAAACTTTTGATTTTATGACACCCTTTTTTAAATTTGGGGACAATAGAGGAGGGGGTGCTCTATCCCATCTCACTGCATACGCCTCTGAGGCTCGCCCAGCTCCCCCCCCCCGGCAACACTACAAGCTAGATAATATTTAAACGACACATTATAGAAAATCCTTGGCGAGTTAAGTATTTCAGAGTAGACTTCTGTCAAACATCTTTAAAAAAAATCCTTCGATCAAACAAAATACAAATTGTAGCGGTTAGTTTAAAGTATATTTACACCAAAACAGTATCGTGTTTAATGCTATTTACAAATATTAGCTAGAGGCCAGTCGTCCCTTCAATGCCACTAATCTTTGCTTCAATGTTCACTAATCTTTGCTTCAACGAGTTCAATGTCCACAAGATTATCACCAAAATCACTAGAAGAACTCGAGTTGAGAATTCTTTATTCATCAACTAGACGTCATATTTTACCTTCATATTAAAGAACACCTTATAAGCTGAAAATCACATTCTGTAATAAAAAACCGAATGTACAAAGCACCTGCCAAACGTATTAGTTCCAACCATACACCACCGAACCTTCTATTTCACAGTATTGACACAAGTCCCATAAAATGAAAGTAAAAAATTATTTTTTAACTCTCGGCCGAGAGTTAAAAAAACTGAAGGGAGAAAACTCGCAGTTAGCTGGTTTACACAGGTCCGGTTCTTCAAGGGGGAGGGCAGTAAGCGCCGCCATTCCGCGGAAAACGGAGAGCCGTCCTTGACCTCGTTCTTTGACCAAAGCCACAAGTCACACTGCATCTGCTCCATGCTGACCACTCGTCAACTTCACAGTCTATGGGTCGGTTATCTGAAGAGAGTGATGCCAAGTTAGACTACTCTAGATATGGTGAACATGAAATAAATGAAGAACCACAGTAGGTATTTTAATAAGCGATTCATCATAGGAGTCATCCAAAAATAATGTCACGCTTTTTTTTTTTGACCATTTTTACTTCCCTACCCATCGTTTAAAAAAGACAGACCCCTATCCCCTTAAATTACGTTACAGCTTAAACTACAACCCCCTTAAAAATGTCCATTAAACATCCATTTCTTTCAAGGGTCATACATAAATTACGTCATGTTTTTAAGACGACTTTTACCTCCCCACTCCCGTCACACATAGTCACAAAAACCTATACCCTCCCTATGATGAAGTCGCACTTCAGGCCTACAACCCCCCCCTTCCCCCCCCCCCCCCCCAAATCAGTTCAACTTTTTTTTATAAACATCGTTGTTTTTTTTCTAAAATATTGACTGAGTAGACCTATAATTCTATAATATAATCAATTTCTATTACAATTTACTTTAACAGTTTTCTAAAACGCAAAATAACGGGTAAAATTCAGATTCTTAAATTACTTTTATGTAAAGAATACAAACGTGTGACGTCTTACTATCTACATCTCCCTTTCCCATATCACACATCGTCACAAAATTACGAATCCCAACCCCCTAGGAGTATGAAGTCATTTATAGACGAGCCCTTAATAATATGCTAACTACAGGAATGTTACATTTAAACTATAGAACCATTCAAATACTGAACGACGGATGGCTAAATATGAAATACGCATGCCATTGGATGTGAATAATTGAATGTTATTTTGATGCCCATGGTAGGTGTAACTCATGCACTAGACTAGATTCCTAAGTGAAGTAAAATTGGTCGCAACATTTTAAAAATATCAGTGTCGAAATTAAATTATCATGCAAATATTTCTTGTCGACTATGTTAGTGTTAGGTGCTGTGTGCTAGACCACACACAAGTGCCACTATAAATTACCATGCAAACATTTCTTACCGGCATCGAAGAACGGGTGTTGGACTTTGTTTTTAAAGACACGGTTCTGTCCCCTGGTGGCGGGGAGCTCTCGTGCAGACTTCCGGCTTTGTTTGTGGATGTTTAGTTGTGACGTATGTGGCTCTGTGCGATCAACGAATCGGGTTGGTTGTGATTGGGGTTGTTCTGTGATTTCAACAAAATGATCTGTTTGTGCTTTGGGTTGTTCTGTAAGCTCAACAAACGATGCTGTTTGTGCTTTGGGTTGTTCTGTAGGTTCAACAAATGTGGTTGTTTGCGCAATAGGTTGTACTTCGATCTCAGTGTGTGGGATTGTTTGTAGCTTGAGTGTCTCCATTGGCTGAATGTCTGTGCTTGTCTGTGTAGTGTGTGTATCTGTAGTCCCGACGGTCGTGCTTGTCAGTGTGTTATGTGACTCTGTCGGCTCAACAAAGATGTTTGCTTGTGATTGTGGTGGTTCTGCGGTATCAGCGGAGATGGGTGATGCCAGTGAAGGCTCTGGCACAATCGTATCGCTAATTTTATCAGGACCTGGCTGCTGCCACAACACTGGCCCAGACACCCCGCTGGACAAAGATTCGGAACCAGAAAAGGAAATCTTGAGTGTGTTTCGGTCCAATTCTTTGGGGGAAAATGGCTGAAGTTTGACATGCGCAGACTGCATCTCACCCGAGTTAGCTATGGTGGTAGGGGTTGTGGTTGTGGTGGTTGGCCTGGGGGTGGTTCTGCTGCTTGCTGAGACATTCTGGGGTAGTTCTGCGAACGATTTCCGCAATCTGTACTCGGTAGCCTTTTCTAGCTCAACGTAGCCAATGTCTGGCAGTACCTGAAGTACAATAAATAGAAATAATTTTTACATTCGTAAAATTTTATTCTTCAAATATTCCCGAAGTAGTCACTCTGGCTTCATTTTAAATACATTTTATTTATAGATCTACAAAAAAAAAAAAAACAAAAAAAAAACCTGATTCTTTTGTGGGACGTTTTCTATAATGGTATTATTGTACAAGACACGATGACTTTTCATATTCTTTGACTGGGTGAAATTATTTACTGTAAGCTATGTAGGAGAAATGACGTTATATTCTCCGAACAGGAGATCATTCGGAGAATACAACTTACCGAATACTCTGGATAGAAGAAATAACTCACCGAATATACTCCGGATAGAAGAAATAACTTACCGAATACTTCGGATAAAAGAAATAACTTACCGAATACTCCGGATAGAAGAAAGAGCTGGCGGGGTGGTCAGGACTGCTGGCTGTGATCTGGGTGATGGGTTCCCTCGGGTCACTGGGCCAGTTGGGCGATGTGAAGGTCAAGCCCCTGTCCGTACCGCTGTCCATTGGGTGAAGGTTGACTTTCACAAAATCTTTCCACCGGCCATTCTCACAAAGGTCAAGGTTACTCAAGCCCACGAACCAATCGGGGCTGGGAATTATCTTCATCATGAAGGAGACCTGTCGGTAAAATAACATTGTGGGTTTCAATCGTTAATTTATACTTGTTACTTAAAATAAAATTATTTAACAAAACACAGCTGGACTTACTTTGGAGCAAACAGCATCGGCCCACAGATGGACTATGAAGTAAACAACATCGGCCCAACAGATGGACTTACTTTGGAGTAAACAACATCGGCCCAACAGATGGACTATGAAGTAAACAACATCGGCCCAACAGATGGACTTACTTTGGAGTAAACAACATCGGCCAAACAGATGGACTATGAAGTAAACAACAGATGGACTATGAAGTAAACAACAGATGGACTTACTTTGGAGTAAACAACATCGGCCCAACAGATGGACTACGAAGTAAACAACATCGGCCCAACAGATGGACTATGAAGTAAACAACATCGGCCCAACAGATGGACTATAAAGTAAACAACATCGCCCAACAGATGGACTATGAAGTAAACAACATCGGCCCACAGATGGTCTATGAAGTAAACAACATCGGCCCAACAGATGGACTATGAAGTAAACAACATCGGCCCAACAGATGGACTTACTTTGGAGTAAACAACATCGGCCAAACAGATGGACTATGAAGTAAACAACAGATGGACTATGAAGTAAACAACAGATGGACTATGAAGTAAACAACATCGGCCCAACAGATGGACTATGAAGTAAACAACAGATGGACTATGAAGTAAACAACATCGGCCCAACAGATGGACTTACTTTGGAGTAAACAACATCGGCCCAACAGATGGACTATGAAGTAAACAACATCGGCCCAACAGATGGACTATGAAGTAAACAACATCGGCCCAACAGATGGACTTACTTTGGAGTAAACAACATCGGCCAAACAGATGGACTATGAAGTAAACAACATCGGCCCAACAGATGGACTATGAAGTAAACAACATCGGCCCAACAGATGGACTTACTTTAGAGTAAACAACATCAGCCCACAGATGGACTTACTTTGGAGTAAACAACATCGGCCCAACAGATGGACTACGAAGTAAACAACATCAGCCCACAGATGGACTTACTTTGAAGTAAACAACATCGGCCCAACAGATGGACTACGAAGTAAACAACATCGGCCCACAGATGGTGTATGAAATAAACAACATCGGCCCAACAGATGGACTACGAAGTAAACAACATCAGCCCACAGATGGACTATGAAGTAAACAACATCGGCCCACAGATAGACTATGAAGTAAACAACATCAGCCCAACAGATGGAATATGAAGTAAACAACATCGGCCCAACAGATGGACTACGAAGTAAACAACATCGGCCCACAGATGGTGTATGAAGTAAACAACATCGGCCCAACAGATGGACTATGAAGTAAACAACACAGGCCCTCAGATGGACTATGAAGTAAACAACACCGGCCCACAGATGGACTTACTTTAGAGTAAACAACATCGCCCAACAGATGGACTATAAAGTAAACAACATCGCCCAACAGATGGACTATGAAGTAAACAACATCGGCCCACAGATGGTCTATGAAGTAAACAACATCGGCCCAACAGATGGACTATGAAGCAAACAACATCGGCCCAACAGATGGACTTACTTTGGAGTAAACAACATCGGCCCAACAGATGGACTATGAAGCAAACAACATCGGCCCAACAGATGGAATATGAAGTAAACAACATCGGCCCAACAGATGGACTACGAAGTAAACAACATCGGCCCACAGATGGTGTATGAAGTAAACAACATCGCCCAACAGATGGACTATAAAGTAAACAACATCGCCCAACAGATGGTCTATGAAGTAAACAACATCGGCCCAACAGATGGACTATGAAGCAAACAACATCGGCCCAACAGATGGACTTACTTTGGAGTAAACAACATCGGCCCAACAGATGGACTATGAAGTAAACAACAGATGGACTATGAAGTAAACAACATCGGCCCAACAGATGGACTATGAAGTAAACAACATCGGCCCAACAGATGGACTATGAAGTAAACAACAGATGGACTATGAAGTAAACAACATCGGCCCAACAGATGGACTATAAAGTAAACAACATCGGCCCAACAGATGGACTATGAAGTAAACAACATCGGCCCACAGATGGACTATGAAGTAAACAACATCGGCCCAACAGATGGACTATGAAGTAAACAACATCGGCCCAACAGATGGACTATGAAGTAAACAACATCGGCCCAACAGATGGACTATGAAGTAAACAACATCGGCCCAACAGATGGACTTACTTTGGAGTAAACAACATCGGCCCAACAGATGGACTATGAAGTAAACAACATCGGCCCAACAGATGGACTATGAAGTAAACAACATCGGCCCAACAGATGGACTTACTTTAGAGTAAACAACATCGCCCAACAGATGGACTATAAAGTAAACAACATCGCCCAACAGATGGACTATGAAGTAAACAACATCGGCCCACAGATGGTCTATGAAGTAAACAACATCGGCCCAACAGATGGACTATGAAGTAAACAACAGATGGACTTACTTTGGAGTAAACAACAGATATACTTACTTTGGAGTAAACAACAGATAGACTTACTTTGGAGTAAATAACATCGGCCTAACAGATAGACTTACTTTGGAGTAAATAACATCGGCCCAACAGATAGACTTACTTTGGAGTGGTCACCATCAACGAAGACCACCGACGATGTCCAGCCCTCCCCCTCCTGTACAGGGGGACCCGTGAAGGCGTCAAAGACCTGGCCGTACCCTTGGGTGGCTTCCATCTCCAGAAGGTCTGGGTCACCCTGCTCGGCAAAGAGGCGAACGCCCGAGGAAGCGTTCTTGCCCTCTGCCCACATCTCGTATCCTGTGCCGTGGGACCGTCCTGGGAATAAGAAAGATCAAATTACACTTTGGTGGACAACAAATATCAAATTACACTTTGGTAGACAACAAATATCAAATTACACTTTGGTGGGCAACAAATATCAAATTACACTTTGGTAGAAAACAAATATCAAATTACACTTTAGTAAATAACAAGTATGAAATTACACTTTGGTAGACAACAAATATCAAATTACACTTTGGTAGACAACAAATATCAAATTACACTTTGGTGGGCAACAAATATCAAATTACACTTTAGTAGATAACAAGTATGAAATTACACTTTGGTAGACAACAAATATCAAATTACACTTTGATAGACAACAAAGATCAAATTACACTTTGGTAGATAACAAATATTAAATTACACTTAAGTAGACAACAAATATCAAATTACACTTTGGTAGACAAGAAATATCAAATTACACTTTAGTAGATAACAAGTATCAAATTACACTTTGGTAGACAACAAATATCAAATTACACTTAAGTAGACAACAAATATCAAATTACACTTTGGTAGACAAGAAATATCAAATTACACGTAAGTAGACAACAAATATCAAATTACACTTTGGTAGATAACAAATATTAAATTACACTTAAGTAGACAACAAATATCAAATTACACTTTGGTAGACAAGAAATATCAAATTACACTTTGGCAGACAACAAATATCAAAGTAACTTTGGTAGACAAGAAATATCAAATTAACTTTGGCAGACAACAAATATCAAATTAACTTTGGCAGACAACCAATATCAAATTAACTTTGGCAGACAACAAATATCAAATTACACTTTGGTAGGCTACAAATATGTAGGTATTCGTTGCGTCTCAACCAACATCCTTAAAGTGTGTTTTCCTTCTGAATTTATTTTTCCATTTGAGATGTTTGGTGCTTTTTCCCCGTTACTTTTGAACATTGATCTCCATTTGTTATTAAGCTTCCTAAAGTCTTTCTAGTTTTGTTACGACGAATCAACGTAAAAATGGCCGACTTTTATTCAGATTTAAAAGATTAGTTAATTCACTATCGTACAAATGCTGTTACAATGTCGTACAACTGTTATAATTACGCCACACACGTGGAAACATTTTCTTGGACTAACTCTTGATCGTGTATACATTTGAAATTAAAATTAATTACTTATATTAATTATATTGAACAAACTAATTCTGTATTTAAATAAACGAGTGTCAAATTTTTGGGTCACTTTTTTGGGTCACTTTGCTGCGTGACTTTGTTTATGGGCTTTAGAAAGGGGTCCTAACAAAAATGAGGCATAATTATGTTACCCTGTTGTGTATATTCAACGATATAAAAAGGGCTAACTATAAACACGGTTCTGCAATTTTTTTCCAACAAAATGCCAACCAACCATGTTGAAACCCAACCATCAAGACAACCAACATTAAAAAGCAATATGAATTTATATATATCTTAAAAAAATATTTTTATTTTCGCCTTTGTGATTTTTGGCAATAGATTTGGTTGCCCTAGGTTATTTACATCAAACTGAAATATGGCGTCTAAAGCAACATGGCGGTCTTGTTCGATTATTTTCTGACTGCTGAGACTAAACAGACACGTGCCAGCTGATAAGACGGTACTTTGTAGTCCAGAAACACAGGCTCCAGGTGCGAGGAAATACGTCTTTACCTGGGTAGTCAAGGTCGGGCTAAACCACAACAGCTACCCGGGGTAGGGCGGGGTAGGGGGGAGGAGGAGTAAACAATCCCATCGAGTTTGTTGTCCGGAATTGGTAGTTTAGGCTAGGTCAAAATCTGTAGGCTGGGTCAAAATCTGTAGGCTAGGTCAAAATCTGTAGGCTAGGTCAAAATCTGTGGCTAGGTCAAAATCTGTAGGCTAGGTCAAAATCTGTAGGCTAGGTCAAAATCTGTAGGCTAGGTCAAAATCTGTAGGCTAGGTCAAAATCTGTAGGACTAGGTCCTGATGGACGAGTAGGTCCTGATGGACGAGTAGGACTAGGTCCTGATGGACGAGTAGGACTAGGTCCTGATGGACGAGTAGGACTAGGTCCTGATGGACGAGTAGGACTAGGTCCTGATGGACGAGTAGGACTAGGTCCTGATGGACGAGTAGGACTAGGTCCTGATGGACGAGTAGGACTAGGTCCTGATGGACGAGTAGGACTAGGTCCTGATGGACGAGTAGGACTAGGTCCTGATGGACGAGTAGGACTAGGTCCTGATGGACGAGTAGGACAAGTCCTGATGGACGAGTAGGACAAGTCCTGATGGACGAGTAGGACAAGTCCTGATGGACGAGTAGGACTAGGTCCTGATGGACGAGTAGGTCCTGATGGACAAGTAGGACTAGGTCCTGATGGACGTCTGACAGGACCTAGGGTTTTGGGCAGGGCTTGAGACACTTATTAAAAACTTATGGGACTTTAAGCAAGTTAGAAAGTATATTGCGTAAAGTTTTGGCCAGTAATAAATAGACTGAAACATCTTTTGTAAGGAAAAAACAAAAGAAATCAAATCAATAATTACGGTTATGGATAACACGTTTTAATATTTCTTTTTCATTTCTTTGAAATTATTGTTAGAATCTACAGCGAACTAATAATTTAAACATACGACAACCGCATGTTTTATGCTGCTTAAGAGACCCACGTCATACACATCGCATCTAGGCGTTGGTTGGCTGGGATAAAGTCAACAGTCCCACCCCTCCACCGGAGTGTCTCTTAAAAAATACATCAGTTACGTCTTGAGAAACGAATGACTTATGCGCTTTAAATAGAGAACTTCATAAAAGTCTATTGTAATATAATGCATGGTAGTCGGAGCGGTTGTTAGCCATTTACAATGTCTATCACTATTTTAACATAAAGTAATGTTTCAATATTTTTTGGTATATTTGTTGTATAAAGACTAATTTAATATAGAGAGTAATGTGTGAAACAAACAGTCATACAACGGTAACAACAAAGTTATAAAATACAAACATTGCCTAGACCAAAACAAAAAAAACTTATTACAGACGAAGTAAGACGCCGCTGTTGATACACAGCCTAAATAGATGACACAGGCCTAGACTATAAATAGATCCACGCTATTGACAATAGGCAGCCAAGACAACGTTCTGGGTAAACGTGTTTCAGGACAAAATAGATTAAATGAATCATTGCCAACATGTACATTTAAAATATTTCAAAAAAGAAATCGCAGTCAAATTGAAGTTCCAGGCAGAGGCGTAGCGACCCTTCCCGACGCCCGGGGACAAACTTTCAATTTGCCCCCCCCCCCCCCCCCCCGGAGATAAACTTTCAATTTGGCGCCCCATCCTCTTTATATTTTTATATTTATAATGCAAAACTGCCGCTAAAATGACCTATTAATTTTTTTCAACCCATTTTGCGCCCCGGGACATATGTACCCCGCCCCCCCTCGCTACACCTCTGGTTCCAGTTATTATAATTTATAATCAATAAAAATAAAGACCGATTCAAAATATATTATAAAGAAATAATTGCCAGAAATTTAAAAAAAAAAGATTTCCAAACCTCAAACAGTAACACAAAAGAAAATAAACCGGGAGTGATCTCCCCTAAACTTTCTCGAATATTGTTATATAACTTGGAATATAGACATGATTTTTAATTACTTAAACTTTTAAAAATATAATAGAATCTCATAGAAAAAAAGAATTGCGCACCAAGCGAACGCCAAAACAAAATGTGCATAATAGTGCGCAATATTATTAGTACTTTATAAATTTACATGCGTTTTTGCGAAATCGGAAATAGCGTAAATTAGTACTTCCGGTCAACGGAAATTACTCAAAATTTGAAAGAAGGTAGAGATTTAGATCTTTTACTTACATGTGAAATTTCATTTATCTACCCAAAATAGTACTCAAGTTATAGGCTTTTGAAAAATTCAAAGTAGAAAAAGTACCACTTCCGGTTATCGGAAATCGCTCAAAAGTTGATACGGATCTACGATTTTGATAAAATACTTATAAATGAAATTTCATCAACCTAGCTGTAACGGTACTCAAGTTATCGTGTTTACACACAGACAGACACACACACACAGACATACGGACAAGATTGCAAAATTATGTTTTTCCGTATCAGTGAGGTGTAAAACGTCGAGATTTGTAAAAATCTAGTTGGTTTTTTTTTGCACGATTACAAGACTTTCTTTATACTTCGTATATACGAGAAAGTAAAAACATGATTTAGAAGGAAAAATGTCACGAATGAAAGTTGATGTCCAAGAAACAAATGTGACGAATAAAAGGTGATGTCCAAGACAAAATGTGACAAATAAAATGTGATGTCCAAAAAAAAAATATGTGACAAATAAAATTTGATGTCCAAAAAATGTGAGAAATGTAAGAAAGTGCTCACCCACTAAGGTCGACCACTGTGCGCGTGGCCTGAACACCGGGTACATCTTTGGGAACGTGATGTTACTCCATAAGGTATACACCGTCATCTTGTACCGGACCATGGACTTCTGCTGACAGGTCGAGTGGTTGCGTTTCGATCGTTTGGTCTTTTGCTGGCTGTTGGTTTCATGGGAGAGCGTGGCGAGTAGAAGAAATACGACAAGCAGACGCATCTTGCAGCCAATTGATGCAGATAGTTATCCCTGTGATGAAGATCCTGCTAGAATTTTCTAATCAAACGTTAAGTAAGTCCGCACTAAGGAAGGTGAAAACGTGAGTGGCCCCTTTGGTTAGTTCCCCTACAAGTTATCTTCTCTTGGCTCCGTGGCTCGTCGATTCGCGGATTTAGGTGCCGTCAAAACGAGACCATAGCACCTTTTTATTGGGTGCGAACCAGGTATCGCTGAGCCCGGGTATCGCTAATGCAGGTATCGCTGAGCCCAGGTAGCTTTTAACAACACAGAGTATCGCATGAGGCCAGGTATTTACGTCCGGGTCACACAGATTGTCCGCTTCCCACCCCGCTCTCTGAGCAGATTTCCGGTTGGATGTTTAAAACATGTTAATTAGAGGAAACTGCCATCTTTCTAATTAGGCTCCATGAGAAGACTTGACTGGAACACTTCGTTTTACTTAATCGAATCCATTTAGTTTAATTTTACACTACACCGATAAGATAAGCAAATCTGGTATTACATTACTATGGAAACAGTTATACATGTTTATAATTTATTTAATTATTAGCCATCTTAGGCAATAGACAACAACCTCCACCTATCAATCTAATGTCAACACTAGCACAACACTCTAACGGAACCAAACTGGGTTCGCTGCATGTGCTGTTGTAGCTCAGCGCCCCACTAGAGAACCAAAAGTGCTGCTGATTTTAGAAGAAAACTTCTTCCACAGGACGATTGGGCCTAAAATACTTGCTGTACATGCACTCAAGTCATGTCTAAGTGGCAGGAATTGTCAAGTGCTCGTGTTGCCGCCTCAGGGAACATCTGCATGTCATCTATTCCTCTCTGTCCAATCTCTGTGTTGAAGCGGTGCCAGAACTTGAGTGCTTAGGTCTCAAGCCAGTGCACATTTTTTCTACAGCTAGCTCTCCTAATATGCACCTCCCCACATCTACATCTCCCGAGCTGAACCTTTCCACATCTAGCACCCCGAACCTGAACCTTTCCACATCTAGCTCCCCAAACCTGCACCTCTCCACATCTAGCTCCCCAAACCTGCACCTCTCCACATCTAGCTCCCCAAACCTGCACCTCTCCACATTTAGCTCCCCAAACCTGCACCTCTCCACATCTAGCTCCCCAAACCTGCACCTCTCCACATTTAGCTCCCCAAACCTGCACCTCTCCACATCTAGCTCCCCAAACCTGCACCTCTCCACATTTAGCTCCCCAAACCTGCACCTCTCCACATCTAGCTCCCCAAACCTGCACCTCTCCACATCTAGCTCCCCAAACCTGCACCTCTCCACATCTAGCTCCCCAAACCTGCACCTCTCCACATCTAGCTCCCCAAACCTGCACCTCTCCACATCTAGCTCCCCAAACCTGCACCTCTCCACATCTAGCTCCCCAAACCTACACCTCTCCACATCTAGCTCCCCAAACCTGCACCTCTCCACATCTAGCTCCCCAAACCTGCACCTCTCCACATCTAGCTCCCCAAACCTGCACCTCTCCACATCTAGCTCCCCAAACCTGCTCCTCTCCACATCTAGCTCCCCAAACCTACACCTCTCCACATCTAGCTCCCCAAACCTGCACCTCTCCACATCTAGCTCCCCAAACCTGCACCTCTCCACATCTAGCTCCCCAAACCTACACCTCTCCACATCTAGCTCCCCAAACCTGCACCTCTCCACATCTAGCTCCCCAAACCTGCACCTCTCCACATCTAGCTCCCCAAACCTGCACCTCTCCACATCTAGCTCCCCAAACCTGCTCCTCTCCACATCTAGCTCCCCAAACCTACACCTCTCCACATCTAGCTCCCCAAACCTGCACCTCTCCACATCTAGCTCCCCAAACCTGCACCTCTCCACATCTAGCTCCCCAAACCTGCACCTCTCCACATCTAGCTCCCCAAACCTGCACCTCTCCACATCTAGCTCCCCAAACCTGCACCTCTCCACATCTAGCTCCCCAAACCTACACCTCTCCACATCTAGCTCCCCAAACCTGCACCTCTCCACATCTAGCTCCCCAAACCTGCACCTCTCCACATCTAGCTCCCCAAACCTACACCTCTCCACATCTAGCTCCACAAACCTGCACCTCTCCACATCTAGCTCCCCAAACCTGCACCTCTCCACATCTAGCTCCCCAAACCTGCACCTCTCCACATCTAGCTCCCCAAACCTGCACCTCTCCACATCTATCTCCCCAAACCTGCACCTCTCCACATCTAGCTCCCCAAACCTGCACCTCTCCACATCTAGCTCCCCAAACCTACTCATCTCCACATCTAGCTCCCCAAACCTGCACCTCTCCACATTTAGCTCCCCAAACCTGCACCTCTCCACATCTAGCTCCCCAAACCTGCACCTCTCCACATCTAGCTCCCCAAACCTGCACCTCTCCACATCTAGCTCCCCAAACCTGCACCTCTCCACATCTAGCTCCCCAAACCTGCACCTCTCCACATCTAGCTCCCCAAACCTGCACCTCTCCACATTTAGCTCCCCAAACCTGCACCTCTCCACATCTAGCTCCCCAAACCTGCACCTCTCCACATCTAGCTCCCCAAACCTGCACCTCTTCACATCTAGCTCCCCAAACCTACACCTCTCCACATCTAGCTCCCCAAACCTGCACCTCTCCACATCTAGCTCCCCAAACCTGCACCTCTCCACATCTAGCTCCCCAAACCTGCACATCTCCACATCTAGCTCCTCAAACCTACTCATCTCCACATCTAGCTCCCCAAACCTGCACCTCTCCACATCTAGCTCCCCAAACCTGCACCTCTCCACATCTAGCTCCCCAAACCTGCACCTCTCCACATCTAGCTCCCCAAACCTGCACCTCTCCACATATAGCTCCCCAAACCTGAACCTCTCCACATCTAGCTCCCCAAACTTGCACCTCTCCACATCTAGCTCCCCAAACCTGCACCTCTCCACATCTAGCTCCCCAAACCTGCACCTCTCCACATCTAGCTCCCCAAACCTGCACCTCTCCACATTTAGCTCCCCAAACCTGCACCTCTTCAAGGCTCTTCTCGATACTGCTATTTTATAACTACTGGCATATTTACTGATGTAGATACACATCCAAAATTGATAATATTGACCTAAATTCTATAGAAGATGAGAAAAATATAAATCTATACGGGCCTAAATATCGATGGAAGTTAAAGAAAGACCCATAGATTGACCCATATGTATTGAGTGAATATACATGAAAGATAATGACCTATATATCTATGTCAGTAGATATCTTCCGAGTGTCTATAGGCTGTAAAGACCTAATATCTATAGCGGTAGATACAGCCCGAAGGTAAAGACCTATTCATCAACGTTATTAGACAATATCCGAATATCTATAAAAAATAAAGACATAAATCACTGTCGGTAGATAAAGTCCAAATATCTATGTAGACTAATATAAAGACCTCTAGCGGCGGATAAAGACCTCCATTTTTCGAGCAATAAAAACTTCCCAGGACCTGATACTTGCGGTAGGTCCTAACATTTATCAGACGCCCCCTCCCCCCTCCCGCCGTGGAAATAAATCTAAGCCATGTGCCGTCTGCTCACCTTTCAATATCTTTTATCTTTGCCAGACGCTCACCTGTTGTTTCACCGTATCACGTGATCACACCAACGGCCTTAGAAAATAAGGTCAGCTCAAACTTTGACTTCTGGGATGTTGAGTGTGATGGGTATCAGGTCCGCCGCCCACTGCTGATACTGCTCGACTAGCAAGGTGAAGGGCGTTCAATTCAAAAGGTGACCACAGCTCACGGAAACGCCCTGTTTATAAACACGCCCAGCGAGATGAAAGCGAGGTTTACGTTAGCTGACAAGCCGTCGCAACGAGGCAAGCAGCAAACGATGTATGACGTCAGTGGGGTCAGTGTCTTCGTGAGCGGAATTTTGCTGGGGTGGCAGGATGGAGAGATATGTGCAGGGGAAGTAGAGTGGAGCGGAATTTTACAGGGCTAGTAGGATAGGATGGTGAGAAATGTACAGGGGTAGTAGAGTGGAGCGGAATTTTGCTGGGGTGGCAGAATAGAGAGATATGTAAAGGGGTAGTTGAGTGGAGCGGAGTTTTTCTGGGGTAGAAGGGTCCGTAAATATATAGGTAATTTATATACATATATATATATATATATATATATATATATATATATATATATATATATATATATATATATATATATATATATAAACTGCATAAATGTACATTATATCTAGGGTTCCATTAATTCCTACAGGTACTTTGAAGTCCAATAATTTAAATCATTTTTGCAAACACAGTTTTCACCTACTGACCGTTTTACGTCAACAGCAAAGGTAACTTTAAATAAGTTAATGATCGAAAAATTTTGAATGACGTCATTAATTAACTAGATAAAAAAAACGCGGACATTTTCCCAGGTAAGAACGGGCGATGGAAAATTCCGTTGTAGAAAAATCTTGTCCCCATTTACTTGGCACGCCTTTGCTTGTGTATTGTATAGCCTTACAGACTGTATTTTGTTAAAGATTTAAAAAAAAAACTTTAGGCCGTCTAGACTCTGTGTAGATGTACAGGTGTCGGCAACTCGCGGGCCGCGTGCAGCACCTAATTAAGCCCATGGCAAACACGAGGCGCCCAATCAACTATAATGGATGGTGGACCTGTAATCTAACACAAAATATGTATCTTTCAACCCAGCGTTCCGGGCGTTATCCATTTATCCCCAACAGTGTTTCTTCCAGACATTTTTACTCGGGGGGTGGGCGGACACTGTTAAAAGTATGTTTTCTATGTAAATTCCATTTCGTTCGGGGGGGGGGGGGGGCGGTAGACTGTTCGGGGGGTGCCCCAAAGAAGGGATGCATGGAAGAAAATCTGATCCCCACCCCTTGCCTGCTTTCTAGAAACACCTACCGCCCATCTACCCCCCCCCCTCTGTCCAACCAGCGACGATCTATAACATTGTTTAAAAAATTGGGATTTGAAAACATAATTTATGGATTTTAAATAATTTAATAGAAAAAACACTTGATTAACGATCTTATTAAATTCACTGTAAAACACTTCAATTGAGTTTTATGGCAGAATTTGGAAGCGGGTAGCGCTTACTTAAAAAAATAAGAAAGAAAAAAGATTTTTTTCAGTGTGCTTTTTAAAGCTTATCTTTATACATATTTGTATATTTATTTAATTTATTTAATATTTAACATTGGTAACAT